CTCAACCTTCCTAATGCCACAACCCTTTAATACAGTTCCTTATGTTGTGGTGACCCCCAATTTCATTGTTACAAATTGAACATAATTAAAGCATAGTGATTAATCACAAAAACAATATGTAATTATATGTGTGTTTTCCGATGGTCTTAGGCAACCCCTGTGAAAGGGTTGTTCGACCCCCAAAGGGGTCGTGACCCACAGGTTTAGAACTGCTGATCTATACTAATAAAAGGGTAATATGCTAATTAGACTGGACATCTTCCGGACAAAGCCACAGTGGCAGGGGCCAAGGCAGAGGCTGTTAGGGGAGATCAGGCCGGCAGAGGAGAGCAGTTAGGGAGCAATCAGCCTGGCAGGGGAGAGCAGTTAGGGAGTGATCAGGCCAGCAGGGGAGGGCAGTTAGGGGCATCAGGCAAGCAGGGGAGCAGTTAAGGGCATCAGGCCAGCAGGTTGAGGTGGTTAGGGTTGATCAGGCAGGCAGGCAGGTGAGCAGTTAGGAGCCAGCGGTCCGGATTGTGAGAGAGATGTCCTACTGCTGTTTTAGGTCGGACATCCCCCTAGGGTTCCCGGATTGCGAGAGGGTGCAGGCCGGGCTGAGGGACACCCTCTCCCTCCCATGCACGGATTTTGTGCACTGGGCCTCTAGTATATAATATAAAAAGTATCAAGTACTCTTCTAAGCAATTTAAATTATTTTTATTCATTTAGTTTGTACAACACTGTGATGTAGAATTATTATAATCACCATTTGTAGATGTGAAAGCTCAGACACAAAGAAGTTAAGTGACTTGCCCAAGATTCCACAGCAAATAAGTGCAACATTCAAATTTGAAACCAGGTACTCAGTCTTGAAAATCCTGATCTTAACCATCTATTATACCTCTTTTGTACTTTCTCTGCCAATACTAGTGTAGTAGTAATGTAGGATCATAAAGTATTAGCAAAATTCACAGAGATTATTAGCTCTGAACACATTGTGGTTCCTGCTACCTTAGTCATGAATGAATTACATTAGACTCACAATTGATGAATTCAGCCAAGACACATAACTGCATTAATATGGTCATGCTAATGGACAGGATTTCTCAAATTGTGAGTTAACTCCCATTAGTGTATCATGAGCAGCATTTTTAAAAATGAAATAAAAGTGAATAGAAAGAAACAGAAGGCATTACTTGTAATAGAGGTAAATTGTAGGGGTGTGTTTGTGTGTGTGTGTGTGTGTGTGTGTGTGTGTGTGTGTTTGTGTGTACTGGATTCAGAAATTATTTATTAACTAAAGGTTGAGGTTAAAGGAAAAACAAAAAGAAAAATGTTAGGCCTTTGTTCAAGGATCCAATGAATTCTCCTTTTGAGAAGAGTTAATTCTATTGCCTAACTATAGATCATTATCAATAACAATTGGCACTAGATCATCAACACAATTTAAATAGGAAAATGGAGCTTCCTCGAAACTAGATATATTATAGTTAGAACTGTTGCTGCCACTTAACCTGTCTATGAGAAGGTAATAAAGTAGGAGTCTTGAAAATTAACCCTTGGGAAATCCCAGATGGATTAATGCCATTGGTTATTTTATCAACCATCTCATACTCTACCAACACAATAGAAAAACATTCATTTTCACTAAAACCTTGGACACTGAAAAAATAAGCTAAAATTCTGAAGGATCCAGCTAGTTCCCCTTCTTTTATTTAATATTCTTTTTTTCTGCCTGCCCAGTGCACTAGTCTGACATTTTTCTTTGTTCTTATGGGCATATATCTAGCTTTCTCCCACAGATCTCTTACATGGTATAAACTCTAAAACTTATTCTTCCCCCACAGATGTCAAAAATGCATGAGCATGCAGTGCATGCTGGGCTGTGGGTGGCACAGAAGAAAAGATCCAAGGCAGTCAAACGCAATATCAGTTTCTTTGGGGCAACTATACATGGCCTCAATACTCTTGAGGGGCCATGATTATAAGAGATGTCTCTTAGTTCAGCCAAGCTGCCAGCTACATTTTACTGCACACTCACCGTAGTCAGAGCTCCGTGTGGGGTATGCTGGGAGTTGTGGTCTTCTCACTCCAGAAACTTGCAGTTCAGTAGAAAGACAAGGCAAACAGGTGTGATGAAAAGATATCACTTTATAGAACAAGAAAAAGTGGATGATTTTTCAAAAATTTTCTAAATTTAATCTTATCCAAAATTTATAAGAATAAGTTCTATACACTTATAAAATATTTGATTACTTGTATTTCTTTGAAATTTATTGAGATTTGTTGGTTTTGAATTATATATTTTAATTTATTTTTTGTTTCAGTCCTTCTAATTGAAGATGGCAAATGTTGACTTAAGCAAACAAATATAATTATAATAAATTTAATTTACATTTCTTTGAAAGAAAAGATTATGGGCAGTGGTAAAAATGTAACCAAGCAGCAGTTACTCTAGATAAGCCACATAAATATAAACCACTGCTGAGCTTTAAAGATGAAAACAAAGGATTTTTTTAATTTTCCCCCAACTTTTAACCATAGCCTCAACTGCAGTCTTTCTCTTTAACCAGTAACACTATAGAAATGAAGTCCTGTGTATTTATGTTCATTATAAGTATGTGTGATGGAAAAAATCACTATCACCCAAAGTTATAATATCTGAAATGTGAATAATGCTTTTGTATAGATTTTCATCCCAGGAGAATCTCATGCTGGAGGTGATACAGACTGTAGCCTAAGATAAGAGATGTACTCAAGTTTCCTTGGCTGTTCTTGAAGATGTAATACTGATACCCAGGTTTTGAGATTCAGAATGTAATTGTTGTTACAGGAGGAAAAGATGAATTTAGGATTTAATGTACAATTGTATGTATCCTATTATTCAACAAGAAACCGTTTTCATAGATTTTCAGAAATACAAACTTTTTGAATCTGCAAAGAAATTCAATAAGAAGAGTTAACACTATAGTTTGACTCTGGGTGTCTGATTTTTTTCCTACAGTTAGCACTTCACAACCAGATGCCTCACCTTCTCAAACCAGTATATTACCCCCAATGTCAACAGCAATTGCAGAAAACATCTCACAATCTCAAGGTATGATTTCTGTGTGCATGACTAGAAACTCACTTTGCTCAACTCCTCATCACCAAGAAAACCCTACCAATCTTTAAAAATATAATAACAGCTTTATTAAATTATAATTGCTATACAAAAACACACATCTATAAAAGGGGAGACATGAGGAAACTGTTACAGGTGATGGCTATGTCTATTGCTTTGATTGTGGTGATGGTTTCATGGATGTATGTCCAAACTCATAAAATTGTATACGTAAACACCCGGACAATCTTGATTTGCAAAGCAGAATTCTTTCAGAATGAGATCAAATGTATTCATTTGAAGCATTCTACCTATAGATCACAGAGGCTTACTTAAATTGAGGCATGGGGGATGAAGGGAGGATTGTGAGGATTGGCACATTAACCAAAAGTAACTCATTTTTTCTTTCTTAAAATAATAGGCACTGAGAATGAAAAAAATGCAAGCCCTTCTTCAACCAGCTCCTCTCATTCCAGTGAGTAAAAGACATCTTCATTCATAGACATAGATATGCAGAATATTTTAATGTTACCAATAAGGGAAGGGATTCAATTACAGATAGACTTTTATCAGCTTTACTGAACCTGCAATCCCATTAAAATCCTGTCTGACTGCCACTTGCTTTGAGAATTTCCTATGCATGAGTCTTAATGAGCACACTTTTGAGATTATTTTCTTACCTTAGTGCTAAGCAATTACCACCCAACGTCAAGGTGAATTGATGGGACTAGTCTCAGATAAGCCAAAGTATACAGACAGAGATCCCCGTAAAAATGAATTGTTTACCTTTACAAAACTTTGTCTTCATGTTAAAATGGCCTTTTAAGAAATATTCCGTCTTAGCAAAAATAGATATACTAGTATGTCATATAACATACAGGTGGGGCAAAAATAGGTTTACAGTTTTGAGTGAAACACAGAGTTCATTCTTGTATTGTTATTTATTACTTATTGTGTGATTTTCCATATGAACAACTGTAAACCTACTTTTGCTACACCTTGTATTTATGCAAGGACTAAATAGACTTAATTTCCCTGGAAATTAAGACTAATATGAATACATATGAAGCTGGGATGATAGGTTTAGGTAAAGCCATTCCATTCAATAGGTCAGAATTGCACTCATTGACCTGATGATTTATGGTTTCTTCATTTGGGAAGCACTAATGATCTCACTGAAGGTCTAATATGAACCCAGAACTTACTTAAAACAAATATTTAATCATAACAATGGAAGTGAAAACCGCTTTACAAATGAATTGGTTAACTATTCTCATTCCCTGATAAACATGAGGAACACATACCAGTAAGCAAGCAGATGAGAATACCTACTAAATGGTAACTATAATTTCTATAACTCTAGCTTTACCCTCTAGGACAGTGTTTTCATCTTATCACTGTTGTTTCAATCTGGAAAATGACTGGCAGAAAAGAGGCAGATGCTAAAATAAATTAATTAATAAATAAACAGCAAAACCCTCCTCTTAATAAAAATAGGAAAAAACATAATCGCCGAGACATGTATGTACACATGCACACACATGCACATTGTTCTTGAACCATTTGTTCATGTTTAGAACTAATGTACCCTGTGATATCCAATTATATCCACTTATGCTATTTTATACTTTTTTTGGTTCTAAGATATTACCATTGAAAGATATTTGTGAGGTTTTTAGAAAGCCAGCTGTATAACTAGGGTAGTTTCAGTATTGGCTATCTAAGTCCTTTTTTCCAATAATTTGGCTATAAAGTAGTAAAGAATATATGAGTGAATGTGGGTCTGACTCTAGGTCTAGAGGACATCTTCTGCCTCTTGTCTCCCATTTCCTCACTCCCCCAGTCTCCAGAAGAATGGAGCACTATCTCTCTTAGGTTTGAAATTTTATTTCAGAAAGGCTACAAGACTGACATCAAGTGGATACGTCAGAAACGACAACTAAAGCAAAACCCATGGATCAGATAGATCTTTTTTGCTTAAAATACAATATTTTAAATAGAATGATATTTAAAGAAGAAAGCATGCATGCTTTTGCTCAGTTTATAAACTATTGTGAAATTCAATTGCCACTCTGACAATGTCTCCACTGCTTCTTAGGTATTATTCTGCCGGTGGTTATTGCTCTAATTGTAATAACACTTTCAGTGTTTGCTCTGGTGGGTTTGTATCGACTGTGCAGGAAGACAGACCCAGGTGGGTAACAGTGTTTTGCTTCAGTTTGTTTCCTGAAAGGAGAATGCTCATGCTAGATCTAAACTTAAGTTTATACTCATAAGGGGAGGCGGGAATTGTAGAAAGAAATAAAATGCCATAGTGCTTGATCTCAAATATAGAGGGGAATGAACCGAGAAATCCGTGGAATGCTGGCGAATGTAAGGAAAAGGGATTAACTACTAGTGGCAGATATCAAATGTGAACAAATACCGTTCAATGAAGCAGCCCGTTTTGTGGGCATTTGAGGGAATGTGGGAGTACAGAAGGCATGAGAGGGTATGCCTTCCCTATTGTGAAGGCTTGTTCCTTTCCGGGTAACAGAGGACGAAGGAAGTCTTGCTGAGAATGTACTTTAGGGGCCCATAATCTGAAGAAGAGTGTCCTGTGACTCACTTCCCTTCTGGGAAGCACAGCTTCCTTCCAACGAATATGTCTCCCTTCATGACTGCGTGTTCTGCTAATTGAATTGGTTCCTCAGGACTGAACATTATTGCAATTTTTAGTGGAATTCTAGTTTGAAATTATTACCTTTTTTAACCTCTCCTGTAGCATTTGGAAGTCTTTTCCCTTTTCTTCAAAAAAGTCACTGCTCTCTTTTAAACATTCTTTGTTTACTTCTTTTTGATGTTTCATCTTCTCCCTGCCTCTGAAATACTTATGAATCCTGTAAGGGCATTCTATTTTTTATTCTTTTATTAAATAAATGTTTAATTTTAAAATAGATTTGCATTCACAGAAACATTGCAAAGATAGTTACAAAGAGTTCCCACATACCACATAGCTGTTATTCTTATTATTAAGATGATATAGGCCAGCCGGTGTGGCTCAGTGTTGGAGTGTCAAACTATGAACCAGGAGGTCACTGTCACAGTTCTATTCCAGGTCTGGGCATATGCCTGGTGTGCAGGCTTGATCCCAGGTAGAGGGCATGTAGGAGGCAGCTGATCAATGAGTCTCTCTCATCATTGACTAGAGGCCCAGTGCACGAAATTTGTGCACTGGTAGGGTCCTTAGTGGCTGCTGGCTGACAGCTGACAGCCGGGTCCTCCCTTCGTTCTGTGCCACCCTCTGATGGTCAGTTCACTTCGGTCGAGCTCCTGGTCTGTACAACTCCCACCCAAGGGGACAATTTGCATATTAGCCCTTTGTTATATAGGATGTTTCTATCTTTCTCTTCCTCTTCCTTCCTCTCTGAAATCAATAAAAATATATAAAAATAAAAAGATGACATATTTGTCACAATGAATTAACTAATATTAGTTGATACATTATTATGAACTAAGGTCCCTACTTTTTCAGACTTCTTCTAATCTTATTGTCTTTTCTCTATTCCAGGAAATTGAGCTTTTTATTCAATGTTTCATCTGAATCCCCCTTCAGTTCCCATGGCTCACACTCCCCTCTATTATCTTAAACATAAATCTATTTCCCATCACAGACCCCTGCCCTGCTTGTGTAATGTGGTGTTATGTCCATGCTATAGCCTTTGTCCATGCTATTCCTTCTCCTAGAATGTCCAGCCCACCATGTAACTTTCATAAAATTCCAATGTCCCATCTGTCCATTAGCATCTACCCCAAACACAAATTTAATGTATCTTTCTTTGCATAACACACCATCTCTTTAAGCAGAATTCTATAGAATTTTATGAAATTCATCATGTTATAGTATAGTTACTTCTCCCTGTACCTGTGTCCCCTTACTCTGTTCCAGGTACTATAACAAAAATACCAAGATGGTGTGGCTTAAACAATAAACATTTATTTCTCACAGTTCTGGAGGCTAAGTCCAATCAAGGTGTCAGATTGGTTGTCTGGTGAGGGTACTCTTCCTGGATAATATATGGCCACCTTCTCACTATGTCTTCACATAGTGGAAAGCAAAGAAGTACTCTGTGGTCTTTTTTATAAGGGCACTAATCCCACTGAGGACTCAACCCTCTGACCTAATCAACTTCCAAAGGCCCAACATATTAGGCATTAAGATTTAACATATGAATTTTAGGGGAGCACACACATTCAGTCCATAATATCGGGCAGCCTTTCTAGTCACACATCACGTATTATTCTCATTGTGTTGTGCATATTATAAGACAGAATCTACTATATGCTTGTTGACTGAAATTTTCAATAAAATAGAACCTTGCCTTTCCCCATTTTAATTCTAAACATTTAACCAGCAGAACTCTACCTAAGTTTCAAATACTGTTAAAAAGTAAACATCCATTTTTATAAGATATATAAGCTACACTGTTTACCCCATAGACAGTGTGCCCCTTGGGTACTAACAAATGCTGTTCCTGAAGCCAGTGTCTAACCATGCACTGCACAGACAGCTGGATGCAAGAAGTTATGAGACAACAAACAAACAAATAAAAAAAACAACAGTAGTGTTCATATTAGACCTTGGTGGAGAATGAGAATAAACACATCAATGACTTTCCCTTTGGGAGTTAGTGAATAAAGCCTTTTAATAATGTCTAAAATATGTTTTCTTTCTCCTTTTCCTGAAGGAAAATAGCATTTTTATAAATCAGTTTAATTTCTCTAAGTTTCTAAACCACCAATACTATTTTTTATGGTAAATCAACCATCCAAGTTGAAGCTTGTGGGTGTTGAGCACATAGAAGAGATTAAAAAAAAGAAATTAGTGTGCTAAATCCATCTGTAAAAACACCCTCTACTGAAAAACTGCTTTACATAGGAAGATTTGAAAATTAGTTATCTGGAAAATTGACATTTGCTAATAAAGAGGACTCTATGGATGAATTGAATCATTGAGGGGGTAAATGTATAAAATTCCAACCACTATGAAAAGTAAAATAAAATTAGTATAATTATGGAGAATTATTCTGAAGACATACAATACTTTATAACCAAGTTTGGCAGTTGTGCAATTAGCCAAATCTATTTGGTTTTCATTAATTTTGCTTGCCAAACAGAATTTATAGCATTGCTGTCATTAAATTAGCACCATTAAACACCCACAGTAATCAGTCTTCAAAATGTGGGTGAGATTTTATTAAGTTCAGAAAATTAGTAAACCCACTCTTCTCACTGGAAGACAACATGAATCAGATTTCAATATGAAATTGAGTTTATCCGGATAATGTTGACAGTAGTCTGAACTTTAACCCAAATAGAACAGCATATATTCCAAAAGTAGTCTGTTGGTATGTGTCTATCTGGTAATAAACCCATTATTACTGTATCCCAAGGAAAAATATTAAAATAGGCATAGAAACAGTATCACTGCATGTAGGAACAGGGCTGTGAGCATCACAGGTGATATCATTTAGAGCGCTTATAGTAGGAATTTTAAGAGCTATTAAAACCCTACTAATGGTAGGGAAGACGAGGTCAGGTCGACTTGGTGAACAGCATAGGGTACCATGAATTAAATTGTAGGAATTAAGAGTCATGGTGGTGTATGACTCTTACCAGGTGAAGCTGAACTAGCCAGAATATTAGTGGAAATCAAGGTCTTCATAACACAACTAGAGGTCCAGTGCACGAATTTGTGCACCAGTGGGGTCCCTCAGCCTGGCCTATGGGATCAGGATCTGGCTAAAACTGGCTCTCTGATATCCTCCGAGGGGTCCCAGATTGCGAGAGGATGCAGGCCAGGCCAAGGGACCCCACTGGTGCACGGTCGGGGACGGGGAGGGATGCAGGAGGGCTCTAGGGCATGTCCAGCCTGTCTCACTCAGTTCCGATCATTCAGTCCCAATCAGCCAGATCCCAACAGCAAGCTAACCTACTGGTTAGAGCATCTGCGCCCTGGTGGTCAGTGCACATCATAGCGAGTGGTTGAGCAGCCTTATCATATCATTAGCATATTACGCTTTGATTGGTTGAATGGCCGACCAGACACTTAGCATATTAGGCTTTTATTATATAGGATAGGCCACAGTGAATGCAAGGTTTTATCACCATTGCTTCCCAGGGCCATGCTCTTGTGTAGAGCCAATCTCCAGCGTTCTCACTCTAGGCCCAGGTTGTTTTCTACCAGGTCCTGTAAGCAGCTTGGAAAAGCATACAGAAGATTAGATGCCATTAGTAGCCTCAGTGATATTTTGCAGGGCACTTTAGAGAGACTGAGTTAATGTGATTCAGATGCAATTAGAAGCAATATCATAGTTCACCACAAATACAGAGATTTGTGTCCCCAGAAAGAGCCACGAATAAAGAAATGTCAGAAATTCAATTCTCTGGTATAAAAAGGCAATATTGAACTTTGAGAATTTTTTTCAGAGGTACTGAAATAAACAGAGACCTTTTCTGGTGTTTGTGGACTATGTGATAACAAATAGTAGTTTCACATAGTGATAAGAAACTTAGTGCAGAAGTAAGTTCAGTGGAGTTGGCCTACTTGGGGCTATCCCGTGAATGTATTAGCCATACCTGAGGAAGGCGTGCTAACCATGTCTGAGAAAATGGACAATGAGGCAGGGAGTGGAGAGATTAAAAAAGTCAAAAATTGGCTTTAGAAATATCTCTGCACTGCAAGTGGCAGGGGTCTCAAGTTTTTTGTAACCAAGCTTCTTATAACTCTAATAATTCTCTCCTCTCCTAGGCACAGCAGAAAATGGGAATGACCAGTAAGTAAAGCTACATCATTTTTTTAGAAGCTCTAACTATATCATTTACATAGGAAAATTATTGATCCTTTACTTACACATCTTTGTTTGTATTTTTAAAGAATTTGTGTAGAAAGTATTGTAAATGGAGTTTATTTTTTCAGAGCTCTCTCTTTTCAACAGAAATTCCAGCAACTAAAAGAGGACTGTTCTTAAGCTATTCAAAAGTATTAAAATGGCAAATCAAAAAGTGAAATGCAAAAATAGAAAAATGAATATCACTACAATAATAAATATAATATAAAACATACCTAGAGTTTTAAAATACTTTTCCCAGTGGAATTTTCAGTATGTTTCTCACAATTAGGGAACTATCACGCCTGCACCTTGAGACAGCTCTGAGTGGCTTTATTAATAGTAGATGTTCATTCTGCTTTGACTTTTTAAAAACAAGCAAAGCAGTTGTTACCAATCCACCCGACTGTTGCCATCAAGGTGCTACAAAGAGACTATTTTTTTAAATGAATGTTAAAACCAATTCTGTGTTTAAGTTTTCTTTGTTGACCTGAATTTGTATCCTGCCTTTATGTAGGTGTTTTTGTATGTTCATCAGGCAATGAAACTTAGAAATACTATCTGTAGGTCACCTACCCTGCTAAATTAGAAATAAAAGTTCTTGAGATGTCCAGGGGGGAAAAAGGGTTTGAAAGTGTTTAGAATCTGAGAAAGAGGAGGCGGGAACCCTTGGCTAAAATGGCCGGCAGTGTCCAGTGTCCTCGTAAAAAGGGATACTCTTAGAATTCATCAGCAGCCCCCAAAGTTTGGAAACGTCTGTGTCTTTCCCTTTGTAATTCAGGACTGAAGCCATGTACCATATAGACCTGTGACAGGTGTTTCCCATGGCCCATCTTGATGTTTAATTTCTCTGAGGACCATTGCTGTAGCAGAATGGTGGGGATTTATTGGCTCAAATCCAGAAGTGGAAAGTGCTAAGTGTGTGTCTGCATGTGAAGAGACACGGGTTTTGCCATAAAAACACATAAAATATATATATGCTTGTGTATCTTCTTCATTCTGTGTGTATAATGTTTACTTTCTATCCCAGACAGGCCATGCTAATTACGATGGTGTTAATTTAATGTTTTCTGTTCCAAATAGACCTCAGTCCGATAAAGAGAGTGTGAAGCTCCTCACCGTGAAGACGATCTCCCATGAGGCGGGTAAGCTCCCAAATTGTGGGTTAGATGAAATCTGCTTGGGTTTTGTTCATGTTGAAACATAACCGGAAAGCATAGCTTCTTCAGAAATAGTCAGTAAGTAGCTCCCAATAAGTATCAAATTTTCCTTTAAAGGAAAGTCAAGCCCTAAAAATATGATTTTTGGGTAAAAATTTTTGGATTATCTGGCTTTTAGAAGCTGCTTGTTGTAATGTGTAGATGTGTTCCAAAGAATGGGAGGTAATGAGTCACTTTCCATTCTGCAGTAATGGCAGAAAGAATATTACGTACACTATATAGGGTTTTTATTATCGCTGTTATCTTGTTTCATTTTTGCTAATTGCCGTGTATACTCCCCTGGAACCAGGATTTATCAGTTAAAGTGTAAATCATATTTTGTAACTTCACATGATTTTAATTGAGTTTCCCCATGAGGAAAAAACACAATTTCCTGTTGATAAAATTTACATGTCTTTTTCCAGTTTCTTAGGTTTTGATTTTGCTTGATTTGAAATGTAAATGTGTGTTTTTTTCCAATATATATATATGATTTGTTTGAGTTATAGTGTATCAAGAGCAATGATAAATGAGATGCAACATAGCTTTTAAAATTAAAAAAGCACTGATTGTTTTCTTGTTTTGAGTAGACCACATATTTAAAACACCAATATCACAAAGCAGATAAATAAAAAGTAATTATTAGCTTTACAAAATGGTCCATGTGGCTCTAACTTAACTATCAAGTTTCATGAATACATTTAACCATTCAGTTCCCCCAATTTTACCTACACAAAATAGTTTGAGAATGCTGATGTTATTTAAAGTGTGAGCTATAGAATGATAAACTACATTATAAATATGTAGTAATTTTTTAAATAAGACAGAAAGCTACAAATATTGTCTCACTTCAAGAGCAAGATCTCCAAGGCTGAATGTGGTCCCAATTTCAGGTAGGAAATTCTAACTAGAGCAAACTACAAGAAGCAAACAGAAGACTTAGGAAGCGAGGGTACCCAATATCTGTAGACAGGCCCAAACCCCTCTCATGAGCCAGTCTCTTAAGAGAGACCTTCCTTCATGATGTACCTGGTTCCTTTATTCCTACCTGGTTCTCTCAGAGGTAACCATCTGAATGGGCAGAGGAGTAAAATTCATTCATAGGGTGATTGGAAACCACTCACAGGTCCCCTGGCCATTCACCTGGCTCCACGAAGTAGCTTATTCCACTGGGTCAGAGAAAAGGAGCCTAAATATGAACTAGTCCTGAGTAAGTCCATGAAGGATCCTGAGCGTGACTATACCATTTGTCAAGAAGAGTTCTCAGAATCTGCCTGTGACTTGTAAGCAAGCATCACAATAACGTCATGTCCATTGGGAATTTAACTTCACCTGCACCTGGGCTCCTCCAGCTGGGGATGGGCTGGCTGCCCAGCACTTGGAAGAAGCCTCTGTGTAGGAGCCCCTGGTTCTCCTTGGGGGAGGGACTGGGATCAGGACCACCCACTCTACCATCCTTTTCTACCAGGGAAATGACAACGCACATCAGAATTGAGGCTTCCAGAGGGGAAAACTCTAAAGAACCTTTTGTTTCTTGATGGCAAATTTAATATCTGGTTCTCCTTTAAGGACCAAGGAAAATTCCACATCAGCTGAGATCTCTCACTCTCCTAGTAATTGAAGTAATAAATGGAATAGACTATGGTGTGATAATTAAGACTCTTAACTCTCCAAGCTCCCTTTACTTCATAAGGAGGCATTATTATCATGGAAATAATCAGATCTGTTCTCTGGTACTTTTCTGGTATTTCTGCCAACTTCAATTTAGGACTCACATCTCATTTAATAAAATAACCTTTAAATGGGCAACCCAACTGATTACTGTGGAAATATTCGACCAGATGACAAGAGTGAATTGGTGATTCAAAGGTTTCAACAGCCTAGAATTAATCATCTAAAACATAATGATCTGCAAATGCTCTTTGTGCCACCACAATTCTTACTAAAGTCTGGTTCCTTAAACACAAATAAATCTCTTTCCCCTGCTTTTCAAACTTATTCAAATAGGATTTCTTTATACAATTATGCTCACCATAGTTAACAGAAGTTATATTATTATAATTATTTTTACTTAAATATCCTTTGCCCAATAATGACATCTTTCTTAAAATAAAACTAAAATAAAATCTAAAATGATTAGGTTTGATATAAGTTCACAGATTTAGCCCAATTTCCCCCTATCTCCTATATAAATTTTTTTAGAAATTTTAAAAATGTAGAAAGTAATTTGTTAGAACAAATACCTGACTACCCATCACTCAGAATTGATGAGTGACACATTTTATGTTATTTGCTTCTAAGAAAGAATTAATGTGCCTAAGTGGTAACAGAATGAAATTTGAGCTTCCATGGCTATGAGTTCATTGGATTGGTCAGTATTTCAATTAATAAACTCTGGTCTTATATCTGAAAATGAGTTGTGTCACTTTAGAGGTCAATAAGTCATGTCTCCAAGGAAACAGAGCTCTGTAGCCACCCACCTTCAAGGGAAATGCCAGTGGGTGCTAAATTGTCTGGGTTTCTAGAAGCCTCAGTGAACCTTGGTTATTGCTCTGGTCATTTTGTACTGATAAGAAGGTTCCTTGCCCCTGAACCTCCTCTGATTAGACTAAGATATTCATCTATCCACACTCCCTGCTTTCTTTGAATATGTTCTCTCTCGAACAGCGTTCTTCTGCTGAAAATGTAGCCCATAAATGTTTACAATTTGATTATTTAAATTAGGGGTTTTCTTTAAGTAAAAGAGAAAGCCTAGTAGAGTATAACAAGAATGTGCTTTTAGCAAAAATTAAACACCAAACGTGGAAGATCAAGGGGTCTTTTATGAATACCCAGAAGATACCACACAGCTTCAGTAAAGAATCTGGCCAAGTTAAACATCCCACGATGACTGCAAAATATACATGTGACATGATGCATGTTAAATGTGATTCCCACCGACATCACATCTCAGAAAGTTATTATACATTATCTCATTTTTTAAATTAAAGGCAACAAGAATTATGAAGAAAACTGCTTAATTAGTTAAAGAATATATGACTGCACAGAAAAAAGAAAACAGTATCTTTGAATTTAGTTTCAAAGCATTGCTTGATTTTGAACCATTTGGAGGAAGAAAAAAATGATATATGAATTCATTATAATATTGTTCTGCTTAAAAACTCTAAGTGTGTATTAGCTGAGATGTAGCTCAAACACTTGAGCATGTGTGCCGGGCCTGCCATGCTGTGCCAGACTTCTCCTGCTCGGTTTTGAACCACTTAATAAGGCACATTCCCCAGATGTCACTCATCTCCTATCCCTCTGTTCCTCAATGCACTCAAGCTCTTTTGAAGGGGATGATGTGTGCCAGGCCAGCTCAGCCAAGGGCTCGGTGAGCCTGAGCAGGGGGAGGGGGGGGGGGCGGGGGCGGCAAAGGATGTAGAAAAGACAGACAAAGAGAATAAGCTGGGTCTAGGTGGATCTCCTGTGCCTGGCTAAGGCCACAGAGAGAGATCCAGACAGCAAGCTGAGCCTTTATTTTATAGCCCGAGGTAAACAAGGTAGTGGTCACCATAGTTACAGTGTTCTTGTGAGTTTCACTTGTTTTGGCAGCACTTGCTGCATCTCCCTCAGCCCAAGATCTAGGGAGCATCATAAGGTCAAGCCTAATTATGCTAAGAGGGCTGTGCCCTCTAAGCTGGGACTTGTTTGTGGCTTTGCCAACAGGTCAATCCAAAGCTTAACCCTGTAGCCGCTACCTTCAATGGCGTCTTAGTCTCCTTTGTCGCTCCTGTCCCCTGCCCCTTCCTCAATATGGTCATTACACATTATCAGTATGCTAATACTAATCAGTATATTATCGTAAATGCACAGTCACTTTTATTTGCTTTTTTTTTTTACAAATTAAAAGTTCATTAACAACAAGAAATAAGCAACAGTGTAAAGATCAGCAAAAAAAACCAAAAAAAACATGAATGGATTTATAAAGCCATACATAGATTCAGCTTCTGTCTTCCCAGCCCTTCAATATTTGGTTCATTCTCTGCATGCATTCACCGAAGGTTCTTTTCTCTAGGTACATGTGTTTCATTTGCTTTTACCATAGACATCATTATTATAACTCTATTGGAATCAGATTGTTATTGCATCTTTCTCACATTCTCTATTCCCAATTAGAGAGACCTGGAAGGGGATATTAAGAATTGTAATGATTTTCATAAGGTTTGCTTTACATTTCTGAAAGACAGCAAGGTTCGATGAACGTTTATTTTGTTTACTTCTCATTCCTGTACTTCATACCCATTGATTCCAGGAGATGCTGTGCCTCTAGTGAGCCAAGAGCTGTCCTGGGGTAGAGGCCATGAGGGTCATGGCCTTGGCACGTCTCAGAGCATGGGACCTAAGGCACTCTTGCAAGAAAAATATCAAGAACAAACTGCGTTTGTTCTCCTCATAGGTTTCTGGCACTATTTATTATCTCCATGACTGTGCAGGTAACAGGTGACATCAACGGTGTCCCCAAAAGACAGCTTTCCTAACTGGTAGATAAAACCTGGAGTAAAATAATGACATTTATTCTTAAAGCTGGAGACTATAATCCATTTTGATTTTATGTAGTGTGACAGGTGTTGATATTTGAGTCTGTCTGAAAGACGCAGGTAGTGTGAAATGTGTTGATCATGAATCCAGGGGCATGCCTCTCAGCTTCCTAGGTTAATATTTATCCTTAAATTGGATAATGGAATAACACTGTTAACTTGAGTAATGTCCCCTCTGCTATGCTGTATGTCAACAAAGTGTTCCTGTTGACCTATAAATTCAATTTCACAAAACTCTCACTGAATTAAACAGAGGATCCTAGAATGTGTTCCTGATAAAATGGCACTTGAAATATATGACATAGGTTTACTGAGGCAGGACCAGCTCATGGAGCAAGCAATAATCAATAACTCACTCCCTAGGGTGCCTCTCTTATTATCACCTCCCATTCACACACACACGCACACACCCCATTCCCAGGGAGTGAGTTAGCATCCATTGCTCCTTTAGGGTGAAACAGATGATGGCCTAAAAGAGCTCATAAGTCTTTGTGAAAAGGCCATACCAAGAGGCAAATTGTGGCTTTAATGTCATTCTTGCAGGGAAGTTAGACTTCTCTTGAAAAACAAAAACAAGCCAAGAAACTTTATTTTCATCCTTATTCACTCCCTGAGCTTAAGGTTCAAAACATCTTCTGTTCCTAGGTGAGCGCTCTGCACAAGGAAAAACCAAAAACTGACAACTTGATGAATCCTCCCCACACCTGGGCAGTAAATATGTAAGTTTCCTAATTTCATTCACTGAGCTACTCATTAATGTCTGCTTTGTTATCCGGTTGCAGCTTAAATGACTTTCAAAGACTTTTATTAGGGGAAAAGTTAATGGTTTGTGCCAATGAAACCATCATTGTCTACTTGTCTAAAAACAAACACTAAAATGATTTGCCAGAGTAATGAATGGCTTGGGGGGCTATAAAAAGTTCTTCCAGTTGCCCTGCCTACCTCAGAATGGCACAGTTCCTGCCTATTGGGGATGTTTCCTTCTCATTGCAGTTTGCCTTTATCTGGGTCACTATACACACACTGACAATGCACTTAGACAGGGTCCTATTGCTATTCCAGACTCACAGGACTCAAAATGAGAATGCTTACAAATGTGTAGTTTATTGCAGGAAAGGCTATGACACAGCAGCAGCATTAATGTTGGGATGTGCATCACAGCCAAAAGCTGGCACAGGGCATGAAATCCAGAGAAGCCAGCTTGGAGGTCCGATTGTCCTCCCTCTGTAAGGACTCACCAGGATGTCCTTCCTCTCTGGGTCCAGGAACCATGGATATGTGCACAGAGCACCTCAAACAAGGTGATCCAAAAATGTAGTTTCACCTGGAGTTTTTTATACCAAGCCATTTCTTGGTCTATAACTAGCTGAGTGACAAGCCCTCCAGGTATTTTAGTGACTACCATATGCAGATGATCAATTTCACTACAATAATAGTTAATCAATAAATAATTAAAACTTTTCAAAACTATGTTTACAAGCAACACTGCTCTTCTGCGTGCTCCATGCTTTGACCAGGAATCAGGGCAAAGCAGGTGTATTTCTCATTTCATTAAAAGAGCGCAGGCCTTGTCCTGACCGGTTTGGCTCAGTGGATAGAGCATCGGCCTGCAGACTGAAAGGTCCCAGGTTCGATTCCAGTCAAGGGCATGTACCATAGTTACGGGCACATCCCCAGTAGTGGGTGTGCAGGAGGCAGCTGATCGATGTTTCTCTCTCATCGATGTTTCTAACTCTCTATCCCTTTCCTTTCCTCTCAGTAAAAATTCAATAAAATATATATTTAAAAGAGCTCAAGCCAATTTTAGGCCTGCTGGAATTAACTGTCCCAGCTTAGCATGGGATTGTCTTTGCTTTCCTAGAATTGGCTCAGATTTTCTTCTGACTCATTTCATTTTCATATGAAGCATTGTTTAAGAGCCCTCCCAATTAGTGTTTGGTGCTTTTTAGAACCTGCAGAAGAATTTGCCCTTTGGCAACTAATATATTTTTAAAGAACAAAAAATATATATGCCCATAATTGGCTTGACCAAAATGGCAGTCGCTCTGGGTAGTGTCCAGGGGGAAGATTATCATTGTTGTGTCTACTCCCTATGGCACCTGCCCAGCCACTAATACGATGCTGTTACAGACACTGTAATAAAAAACTCCTTTGTTCCTATATTGGTTGCAGATTTTTGAGAAAAAATGGTCGATGCAACATTAATCATAAGCACTACCCTACACACATGAATCCAGATGTTTACCTAGGTGATCTATGCTGCAAACACTTGACTTTACTTGGAAGTTCACCTACAGAGGAGCCAAGTTCAGTTAAACAATAACTGGGACCACTGTCAAAAGAGCTATTAATACAAAAATAACTTGTGTTAAGTTTTGAAGGCCACTGAAATAAAAGACTAGACATATGTTAGTTCTATGCAGTTCTATACACATTTGTGTTTTAAATGCAAATGTGCTCTGTTTTCTTCTTCTGAGATTAATTCTCTTATGACAAGAAGTAGCAAAGATGACATCACTAAAGGAATTGATTTGCTGTTACATAGGCCTTCTGCTAAGACCAGAATTTTAATGTGAAAATGTGAAGTAGGGAAAGCACACTTTCTTCTTATTGATGCCAACAATGGTCTGAATGAAGTGGTCAATAATCAGCGTGGACATGGGGATAGTAGCTAGTAATTTCCCACAGAGAAAATGTATAAAGGACTAAAGGAAGAAAGAGACGATAGAGGAAAATTAGGTATGCTTTAAGTGCCTGACTAAGAATTTTCAAAACATAAAACAATGTAAGAAAATTCAATGGAAAAGATAGAAATTCTACTATATTATGACTTAAAAGTTCCAAATATAAAGAAAATTATAAGAAAACAAATTGAGGAAATGTATAAATACGACACCAGTTCATTAATATTCTAAACATACAAAGATGTTGTATACATATTAGGAAATAGAAAAGTAAAGCAAAGACCATGAACAGATCATTTATGGAGGAGGGAATAGAAATGATAACATAAAATTGTATAGAGGATTCCTATACTACTGCTAATCAAAAATGTGCATCAAGACCAAAATATATAACCTTCAATCTACTTGAACTTTTTTGTAAGTTTAAAAAATCATACTGGTGAAGCAAATAGTTTCATATCTTGCATTTGAAAGTATAGATTAGGTTAATAATTACATTGGGTTCCACATCCAAAAACCAGGCTAAAACAATCATTTCTCCTAAGATCATTGTGCTTCTTTGTTTCTAAAGTGTTAATATACTTAAAGAACCTATCGTGATACTTTATTATAAAAGCAACAATTTATTCTTTGTAAGAATTATAAAGTTATGAAATTTTAAGGTTGTGAGAGATTCAGTGCTTATAAAGTCCTGTATTATTACTATTATTCGTAAAGATGACCCATACACTGAAATTTAGAGAGATTTTAATGCTGAACCCTCTTGTCAGCCGCAGATACTCTGGGAGACCATCAGAAATGCCCTGTTCTGCAGTCCTTTCCACAAACTAAGGCTTAACATAGCTCCTATGACCACTCTCTGCTCCTCAAACTGCCTCTTCCTCATGCCATGGAAGCCAGTGGCCACCTTTCCCCTATGCAAGGCAAGAGTGCAACCAACTCTACCAAAGACCCTGCTTCTGCCAACTGTGCCATAAAGAATAGGGTGCAGGTCTCCACCCCAGCACCATGCCTGCCCCACCCCCATCATATCATCCTCCTCCCAGACTCTAGCAAACCCCAGCATTGCCACACAGCAAACATCTAGCCCCTGCCAGGTCAGGCCACTGCCCATTTCCCTTCTCCAGCTACTTTTTAGACAAACAGAGAAAGTTGTTTCTGCCCCAATGTAATCAACCAAAGTCCTCGCTCTGCTTCCTATGAAAGAGACGCAGAGAGTTGCCTGGTCATTCTTCTCTCTACTTATTAGGAGAAGAATGAACGTTGCCAATAAATTTTTTAATTACCCACATTGTCACCCCAAGCAACACACCTTGAATTATGTCCCTTAGTGACAAGGTACAGTTAAGAGCTTTAATTAGAAGAGGAATATGATGAGATCTGTGCTTGAGACACATCGCTGATGTTTACTGTGAAAGATGAATCCAAAAGGAATGAGACTGTAAGCGGAGAAGTCAGAAAACTATTGCAGTATTCTCTCGGAAAAGGACAGGACTTACCACATCTGCAGTGACACAGAGATGGGGATGAAGAGACAGAATGGAAGAGAGAAATGTCAGGCACATATGATTCTGTGATTGATTGAATGTGAGCAGCGAGGAATGAAGATTAGGACTACATATGATGTCCAGACTGCTAGCATGAGTGACTGGATGGATCATGGAGGTAATCGCAAAGCTGGGAATTATGGAGTGAGAGGGAGCAGGTTTAGGAGGCAGTATAGTGGTTTTCCTTTCAGTCATGTTCAGTTTCAAGTGACTCTACTGGGTGGAAAATAATTATTCTAGACACTAACACATTCACCCCCATATCCAACATCTCTACTTACTCACTTTCTTGGAATCTGAACTTTTTCCCCTACAGGCTTAATCTTCAGCTTCTATGCTCCAGGATTAGAAAGAGAGAAAGACCTGTGGAATTGATCCTGACTTCCAGTCCTGCTCGCCAGTCTACACCAGTCACCTGTCCCAACAAAATGATGTCCAGATGACATGCAATAATCTGATAGAATAAAAAGTCCTGGGTCTTTCCTGTCCATTGAGACAGGAGAAAGCACATTTGTACATTGTCTGGGAACATTCTCAGGAGAACCGATTTTAGGAAAGGCATTTGTGAGCAGTTAACCAGGCAGCCCAGGCATTTGGGTTCCCTGACGACGTGACCTTCCTTCAAGTTTAAAGTTTCCGGAACTGGCAGTTTTACCCATGGTGCCTTTCCTACTTTCCTGGTGTTCTTCTATTACCTAATGTCTGTATTTATTGTTTTCTACTATGACTATGTTAATGCAGGGAAAATTTGCAAGTGTATTATTAAATATTAGGTAGAAATCATGACGTGCCACTTTGTACATAAAGATATTTTATTCATATGTTCATATGTTAGTTTTAATAAATATTGACTGTATTCAACACACTAAAATATCAGAATGTGACCGTGAAGATGGCGAAGGTATTGTCTTCCCATAATTATGAAAAATTTTGGATTGACTATTAGATTATGGGAACTCTATAATGAAAGGCATCTGTAATAAGTGAGAAAGGGACAGAGGATTCATGTTTTAGACCCTGTTAGGGGTAAGTCATACCATTTCTTTGGTCTTTCTATTTGTAATTCACACTATGTAACAAGGATGTAAGGGCATTTATGACACTGTACTGCATTCGTTAAGAACATAAGCAGGATTGAGGGTAATCCTTTCAGTTAAGACTATCTACATGCATTTTTTTATTTCTTTTAGAAATGTAATGATTTGTCCTAGCAGTGATTGTTAATAGAAATGAACATTTCATAAATACATGATTGTGATATTATTTTTCACTGTATCCCTTTCCTTAAAAAACATATGATTGTAACTGCCGCTCCATCAGGAGCAGATTATTCAGTTGAAAGCTGACTGATCAACCTTGACCACTTCTTGGATGCGCGCAATCAAAATGTCATGTTGGGTGAAGTTCTGTGGAAAGTTCGGAAACTAACAAGCTGCCAGTGGCAGCTCTTTCACTTGTATGATTACCTTCTCCGAGTCAATGCTAAATCATCCTAGTGATGTGAGGACAGTGCAGTAGAATCTGAATGGTGTATATAAAACTACCCTTTAAATTTCTTTTGTTGCAATGTATTTGAAAACTTCCAGCTTTAAAGATTATATAAATAATCATCTTGGTTTTAGCTTTCCGATGTCTGCACACTAAGACACCAACAAGCATATCTATATTTCTAAGTGGTATCTCCTCGTGTTTCTTTGAGAAGGAAGATAGGAAATTGAAGGGGAGAAGGAAAGTAAGAGGGTAGAGAAAAGGGCAAGGATCCCCAATACATACACTTTCCCATGAGAGATGGTCTATCCGTGCTTAACTCCAACCTAAAAGTCTTCTATACTGGTGCAACAGGGGCGGAGGATACCAAACATGGGGCATTTGTCTTCAGAGGGAAAATATGCCAACACCCCTAGAATGCTTTACTGAGCTCCTCGGCAGAAGCCTTGTTACACAGAATGTGCTGAGAGAAACAAACTCTTCTGCAACTTAAATTACTGCAGTGATGTGTTATTCCGGTGTCTAGAAAAACCATTTTCTTGACTTTGCATAAAAATTGTTGGAAGAATTTACAACGATTGGGAAAAGGGAAAGCTTCTTAATGGTCATGAAAGAATAAAATTCATTCTAGTTCAAGAATTGTGCATAAAGAATATGCTTTATACTAACAACTATTGCATTAAATCTTCAGAGTCAGAGTGGTAAGAAAATTCAGGAATTTGCAGATATTCATGGCATTTTGGAGCATCAATCTCAGATGTCTGCATTTTCATAAATCAACTTAACCTTCTATTGAAATAAATTTCAAGGCAACATTATAATTAATTAGATTTTTAATTATCTTATTTAAATTGTCTACTTTCTATGCCTCACTTGTTACATGCTCTTTATTCTAATATACAGTTCAAATGTCACTGCAGAGAGGGAATAGCTGTATTTAGATCAAAGGCAAACTTTTCTATGTGTTTGCTCTGCATGACAATATGAATATAATTTAAGTCTATCAATAGTAAAACATAAACAAGAGCTAACTAACTGGCACGTTTGTTATCTAAGAGTAAGGGAATGTTGTTGGCTGACACACCGGCTATAATCAGCCCATAGAGAGACTTCAAAATTCTCCTTTCTGGGCTGAAATATTTCATTACATTTCTGAAAAATCTGCGTGTCTTATTTCTTGTCTACCTGATATACAACTCAGGACATCAGAGAACCTTCAGCAGTGAACCTGCTAGCTTTCCCTGATTTTTCTCTGTTGAGCTCTGTTTATGATCATTCAAGTTTGCACGGAGTCCTAATAAGACAACTGGGTATGTCCTCTAAAAGTTATGTTTTCTAGGTCCCTCCATGCTGTCTCAAAGAGTAACAGACCTAGAGAGTATTATGCTGAGCGAAATAAGCCAGTCAGAGAAAGACAAATATCACATGATCTCACTCATATGTGTAATCTAATGAACAAAATAAACTGATGAACAAAATAGATCCAGAAACATAGAAGCATGTAACGGACTGTGGAATCTCAGAGGAAGACGTGGTGGGTGGATGGCAAGAGATTAACAAAAGAACTTATATGCATATATGCATAACCCATGGACACAGATAATAGTGTGGTGAAGGCCTAGGGCAGGCAGCAGGTGTGGGCTAGAAGGGGTCAATGGTGGGGCGGGGGAGGGAGGAAGGTGACATAAGCAATACTTTCAACAACAAAAATAAAATTTTTAAAGTTATGTTTTGAGTAATTATAGTCTCAAGACAATGGAACTGTTATTTTTTGCCTAATATTAAAGATATCCATCATTGTGATTAATTAAATAAGTACCCTGAACTGAGAATTTGTGATGGGTTATCCAGAGATCTTCTCTTAAAAATTTCCCTGCAAACACTAACAGGACTTCTCGTGTTTCATTAAATGAGTATACTTTGTCGCTGTTTCAAGGGGATTTGTCCTATGGGCCTGAATATAGATATTTCTTGTTCTGGCTACTTTTTAAAGAAAACAAAGCTTTGATAAGTGATGAAAAAACATCTATCTTGTCCATCAATATTGCATTCCTCAACTTAAAGTCAGAATTCTACCGAAGTAATTAAGGGTAATATTGTTAGTTAGCTAACACCATATCCAAGACTCATTTTGTGCCAAGCACTGTGCTAAAAACTTCACTTTCGTCATCTTGGTTAATTGTCACAATAATGGCAAGAGACAATTTCTAATATTATTATTTTTATTATTATCATGATCACCATCATTATCATAAGCATATCCATTTTAAGACAGAAAGCTAAATAAGTTACCCAAGGTTGTAAAACTAGTAAACAGCAAAAATTTGAATTCCAACCTAAATCACAAGTCCCTGTTCTTCATCACTATACTACTTAGTCTTTCTAATCTCAGTTTATTTATCTATAAAAAGGGGTTATGCAATCATGCTCCTGGCCATAGTTATAAGCAGGGTCCAGATTTATCATCCCACTATAAACAATTATAAAACTGAACAACTGCTTCAGTAGACAAAGGCAGAATTAAGCTGTGATCCTTAGGAAGAGAGGACAAAATTGTGATTTCTATGAATAACCAACTCTGACACATTTGAGTCTAGCTGCAGAGAAGAGGACACCTAGGTAGAACCTGATAGGCACACTGAGTTGAGAAGATGTAGATTGGAGCAAGGATACTCAGGTAGCTGGAATTTATGGAGCAGAGCATCAGACAGGAGGGAGCTACATAGCAAAAAACACACACACAAAAAAAAAACCCTTTGTATATAGTTGAATTTGTATCTGGTAATGGGATATTAAGCTGTATATACACTTAGCGTGAAACTCCATGAAACCAGGTAAAGACTAGTTGTATGCTGAAAATTCCTAGATATCATACAGGGCAGACAGACATTCTGATCATCCATTTTGGAAAATCCTCATTGATCACTTTGATCAATGATCCCAGAAGATTCACACCTTAGTAGTTGTATTAAAATACCCCTAGCGGGTGCTTCTAGTCACAGTGTAGCTAAATGCAGAACTCGCTGCCTCCTACAACCACATCAAAATTACAACTAAACTATAGAACAACCATCATTCAGGACCACCTGAAATCTAGCTGAACGGAAGTTCTGCAACTAAGATAAAAAGAAGAAACCACGTCGGCACTGGTAGGAGGGGCAGGTAGGTGGAACAGTCTGGCCCCACATCCACATGTGCCGGATAAAAACCGGGAGGGATATCTCAGCTGTAGAGGTTCCCCCTGAGTAGCGAGGGGTCCCAGTCCCACACCAGAACCCTCAGCCCAGGGTTCCAGTGCCAAGGAAGAGAAGTCCCCATAATTTCTGGCTGTAAAATTCAGCAGAGATTGTGGCTGAGTGAGAGGGAGGGTGCTGGAATCCTAGGCATTCCTCTTAAAGGGCCTGCACACAGATTTACTCAAACTCACTTGCTCTGAGCTCCATGCTGAGGCAGCAGCTCAAAAGGCTCCAGGGACATATGGGGAGGAACTGAATTGTCTGGAATCAGGGTGAGAGCTGGAGGTGCAACTTTCTCCCAGAAAGAAGTACTGGTAGAGGCTATTGTACCTTTTCTGAGTCCTCCCCTCACAGAGCCAGCAGATGAGCGCCAATCTGACTAACATTTCTCATCCTGCCCTATGATTCCCTGAGACCCCACTCCACCCAACTTGGGTGCAGAGTTGGCCTCAACATGCTCTTTGCTAAGTGGCCCAAGCTCAGCACTAGAAGCAGCCACACTTGGTTCACAGCTGGGCTTCTCATGGACACCTCCAAGCCCAGCACAAATAGCAGCCATCTGAGGAATGCCTAGGATTCCAGCACTTTCCCTCTCACTCACTTTGTAGCTCATGCCAGGTTGTGGGGGAAAAGGAACCTCATTCCCTGCTGGTGAGAATGAAAACTATGGAAAATAGTATGGAGGTTCCTCAAAAATTAAGAATAGAGTTCCCATATGACCCAACAATCTATCCTCTGGGTATCCTATATAATAAAAGCCTAATATGCAAATTGTCCTTTTGGTCGGTCATTCTACTAGGAGTTCAACCAGGAGACCTGGAGTTCGACCGCTTGCTATGATGTGTGCTGACCACCAGGGGTTGGCATGGAACATGGCAGGCATCGGCAACACAGCAGTGGGCAGCAGTGGAGGCGCTGTTGGCCTCGATGAGCCCCGATGAGAGCAGGACCCGGGCAGGATGGTGGAGCAGGTGAGTGGGTGGCGCCAGGCCAAGGCAGGGTGCCAGGAGGGGCTGCTGGACTGCGAGGCTGGGGGTGCGAGCTGAAGCTGTGAGGCTGGGGGTGTGAGCTTGGGCTGCGAGGCTGGGGGCCCAATCTCTGCAGGCCAACACTAGGGACCCCACCCATGCATGAATTCGTGCACTGGGCCTCTAGTCTACACATAAAAAAAATGTGAAAACATTTATTCGCAAAGATATATGCACTCCTATGTTCATTGCAGCATTATTCATGTTGGCCAAAACATGGAAACAACCAAAATGTCCTTCAATAGATGATTGGATAAAGAAGATGTGTTATAGATATGCAATGGAACACTACTCATCTGTAAGAAAAGATGAAATACTGCCATTTGTGACAATATGAATGGGCCTTGAGAATATCATGCTAAGCAAAACAGGTCAGTCAGAAAAACTAAGAACCATATGATTTCACTCATGTGTGGAATATAAAACTGAAACTCAGACACAGACAACTCTATGATGGTTACCAGAGAGAAGGGGGTGAATGGGGTAGTAAAGGCTAAAGGGAGCCAAGTGGTGATGGGAGATGATTTGGCTTTGGGTGTTAGACACACAATGCATTATACAGATCATGTATAATAGGAATGTACACTTGAAACCTATATAATCTTATTAACCAATGTCACCCCAATGCATTTAATTTAAAAAATAAAGCAAATGAAAGCATTTAAAACAAACACTGTCAGCCACTACATCGCTGCTTCCATTGCAATGCCATTTCGTTAACTCAAAGAGCTCAGTTGATTTGATAGATGGGAGAAGGCACAGATGAGGTTTCCTCTGGCTTCGCAGGAAGCCCACTTACCTGCTGAGTGCAGAACACTGTCATATATATGCTGCAAGAGGCAGGTTTTAATTCATGTCTCTATTATCTAAGAATTATGTTTAGAAAAGGATTAAACTTCACTTTGGCATTCTAGACATATGTGCTCTGTCTCAGCACCATCCCGTTATTGTGATATGGCCCACTCCCTAGGATTGTCCTAAATTTTTATTTCACAAAAAGAACAGTGACTTTCTGATAGCTGAGCTCTCACTCTGGGGAGGGTAGAGTGTGAAGTATAGAATTGAAGTCAAACTATCTAGATAGAGAAGTGTGGGAAGCTTTCAAAAGTGAAGCTTTAAAAAAATGTGTGTGGGAAGGGAACAGAAATTGAAATTATCTATTAATACTAAATGCTAATAGTTATTACTTTCATCATCATCAGTATAGCTTTATTACCTCCTACCAGGCCAAGGTTTTATTTTAGGCACAGGAGTTATGAAAATACACCATAAATGATAATAATTCCTTGTAAGAGCTTATTGTCTATTATAGAAGATGAACCATAGAGCTGAAAGGTGGAGGGGAGCTTTTCTGACTTACTGATAATAGGGGCAGGCAAGCTGAAATGATGAAATGGAACACCATCAGTTATGTGGCATCGCTTGTTCTCACAGAGCATACACTGTGTACAGTGCAGAGGAGTGGAATGAATGATGAGCTCTGAGTTAGACACGAGCTTAAATCTAGGTTCCATCTGTCATCCTCTCAATTTTAAAATGGCAATATGAAGGTTTTGAGAAGATTAGCATGATGCCTGCAAATAAACCAAGCATGAGAAACAATAACTTCAAAACAAACAAAAAAGAAAGTTAATAAAGACAAATAATTTGGTATGCAACATTAAACAGAAACAGAAGCCACATTCAGGAAAAGTTCTGCCTCTTTTCCCATGGGCATTGAAGAAACTAAATATATTTCAACCAAGTAGTGTCTTATGGAGGCAGAAGCAGTTTCAGGAAGATGCAACAGAAGATCTTTTTTATTTTGCATTGTTAATTATTTTTTTAATGCTGGAAGAAAGGAAAAACACACAGTCAAAAATATTTCCAAAAGAACATATGTGCTTTTGATGCTTAGAATAGCGGACTTTAAGTGGCACAATGAATGACACAGGATTATGTTTCCTGCTCTTAACCTATTTTAGGAAATTGTTTTGGCCAAAGATCAAGAAAGACTTCTTTCTTTTTGCTGAGCCAA